AGCCGACTGAGTCGCCGGAGGAGGCCGAAATCCCTTGATTTTTGCCGCGCACGCCACTTGCTCGATGAAATGCCTCAAAGAGGCTGGTTTGTTTTTGCCGCCGGCCGGCGAACGGGTGAATGGACGTGACTCTGTGGGCGGAGAGGTTCGTTTTTAGTCCCAGGGGGCCGATTTGGGGGTGGCGCCGGCCTGGGTCCGCGGCGAGAGGCCGATTTCGGCCACGGCGGCCGCTCCCACGGGTTCTGGCCTCGACTCTGGCTCACCGGACCGACCCGGTCAACGCCCGGTCGGATCCGTTGACCGGGTCGGTTCTGATCGACCGACTGCCACTGATCTAACCCGGTCAACGCCCGGTCGGATTCATGACCGGGTCGGATCCGACCCGACCCGGTTAATATTATATTATTATTTTATTTAAAAAAATTTAAAAAATTTTTTAAAAAAAAAAATTTTTAAATTTTTTTTTAAAATTTTTTAAAATTTTTTTTCTGTATTTTTTTTCTTTTTCTCTCTTTTCGAAAAAAAAAAAAATTTTAAAAAAATTTATTTTTTTTTTTTAAAAAAAAAAAATTATGTTATATCTAAGTTTTTAATCTAATGTGATATTATTATGCATATTTTTGTCTTGTTTAAATTAGACAATCCTGAGATTGCGCGGTAATATTTTGCATGTTAGTTTTTATTATCGCTGTATTATTATGCATGTTTTTAATACAATCGCATGAGTTGTGTTTTTGAATGTCATTTGACTTAGTTAAGGTTAGAACCTTAGGCTGCATGAATTGTTGTGTTCCTGACTGCTAATTGTTTCTGATTATGCACTCGCTTGATCACCTCACATGTTAGGAGAAAGGTCCTAATATCAATCCAAATTGCCTGACAAATCTTTTTAAAAAAATGAACAGGGTAGAAAGGTACCGAAAGGGCATTAGTTATCTAACTAGTGTAACCAAGTCCCCGAATTCAGTCAATCTCTGGTTCGTAGGAATAGGGTGATTCTCCCATCACCCTATTTGGGTTTCTAATCGACCCACCCCAAATCGATTAGTGGCGACTCCTCGATATAAACCACTTGCATGTTAAAAACTTAAACCCTAAGTCGCGATATGGTATGGGCTTGGGAGAGCCCGAGTTAAGTCCCGAACCTAGACTTAGCACGTACCAGGCGAGCCCCTCCCTTTTTGCATGTTGTTTAAAAAGGGCTCGGGAGTTCGGTCGCGACAACTAATTATTGGAGGTATGCACAATATTGAAAATAAGAAGCCATACCTCATTTTCTTTTTATTCAATATTAAATACTGACTTTTGAGCATTGAATACAATTCAAATGTCCTTTTTTGTTCTTTTTTTTAAGTAACTATTTATTTTTTTTTGTGAATTTTGATTACAACAATCTAAACTAATTATATGAATAATCTATAATTTATCCAAGCAAAAAGAGAATAATCCCAAACACATTGAAAGAAGATCCTAAAGTATGTCATGTTATTGGGGAAAGCCTTTTCAATATTTAATCTATAGATAATTGGATACATTCGCTGTATTCTATATACGATATAATTGACTCTTGCTATATATGCAATAGTTGAGTTTTTCTTCGATAAGCTATGTTGTTTAACACAAAAAAATGTTCCTGATATATCTTTTTATTAATTTTACGACAATTATATGGTAGAAATAAATATTTTGAATTATCTAAGTCAATTATGATTCAAACTATCTATATATCTATCTATATGTGTCTTTAAGTATTTGAATAAAAAAGACTATGTTGTGCACAACATAATTATATAATAAAGAGAAAAAATCAACCGTGTCAATTAAAAAAGAAAAGACAGTCCATCATCAATTCAATTTTATTGGAACATGAAATAAAAGATTTTTAATAAGTGTATAGTGAATTTAATATAAGAAAAACAAACCCACAATAGCTAATCATATTAGAATTGTTTTGGTACAATATTTTCTTCTATTTAAAACACGAATGAACCTCAACAAAAATCATAAATTGCGAGATCCTCCCATAGTAGGAGTTAGAGACAGTTCCCATATTAGAGCGGATTAGATTAAATGGAGTATAAGAGACGGATTCACTAAGATCGAACAGTAAAGTATGATATTTTCCTAAATTACATGACAACCAATAAAATGTTTACTATCAATAGAACCTAAGTGACCGATCCGAGGGATGTAATCTAGAGAAAGAACGGATCTTATACACAACGACCATAAAAGAGAAGTGTCAAGACCAACTTCACATATTGTCCCATATATTCCAATTAACGAAAGTTTAGGAACCATAAAAGTGTTAGGTAAAGATAATGTGGATGTTGAAATATTTCATGTATAAATGACTACCATATGCGAGTTATTGGCTATATGAATAATAGGTGCTTGTGAAGTGAATGATTTTGACTTAAACAAGTTACAGCGAGAAGTCACATGATAGCAATAGGTAGAATTAACGTACGATGAATCTGAAGTACATGGAATGACAAACAAAAGAAAAGTGTTGGCAAGAGAGGACTTAGAAGTACTAGATTCTTAAATGGAACGAAGATCCTTTAAGGATAGAATAATGGACAAGCCGTTGGGGAAACCCTCAATGGTGGCCACAATGGGGGATCGACGTGCATAAGGACCTTTGTATGGGATAGGTTATCTATCCTTGTAGGCAGCTGAGACAGTAGTCGATAATAATTTGATGCCAAGTGACCGTGTCAGTGAAGAGTGCCTAGAAAAGGGTCTGTGCGATGAGAAAGAAGGGGAAGTGGCAAGCACCACATCCGTAGGATTGGAGAGAAACAAGGTAGTGAGTAGCAAGTTGAGTATACTCAGTTACAGTCAACAACTCCAAGACAATTGCCTCATGGCTAGGTAAAGGATCTCTATAGAGAAGTAAAGCTAGCACAAGTTCAAACTCATCATTTAGTGCCATAAGAAATTGCGCAAAATGCATACAATCACGTGTAAACATCAGAATTCACATATTGTGGCTCAGACAAAACAAACTCATCCCGAATAGCATGCATATGGTGTAAATCCCCTAACAGCTGATGCTGATGGGCAATATCTAAAGGAGATTAACTGAGCTTCTTTTTGTTGTGTTAATGCAACCAAATTAAAGTTGAATAAATGGAATCGAAGTGTTTTGAAACCACGGTAGGATCTAATGATTTTTGCTATCCTACTCCTCCAAAGATTTAACAACTTTGTTGTCATTTTCACTAGTAGTATTTGTAGACTCAAGAATACTACCAGTGACATAACAGTAAAACTTGCATCCTCTAAAAAAAATTGAAATTTCTTGAACCCATAAATTGATCCATGGGATCCAAATATGGAAAAAAAATCGAGAGGCTACTTGTATTCCTCAGAAACCCTCGCCCACATCGCCATTCAATATTTTTTGGCCCGCTATTGGCCAAACCACCTGGCCACTAGGTCCGATGTGAGTAGGGTCACTTATCCATACTTCATAATTGAAAAAAACGAGCACTATGGAAATACATGCCACAATGCTCGTATATATTTTTTATTCATAATATGCACTTTATCAGTAAAAAAATAGTAGAACGGATAAAAAGAGGTGAAGAAAGCAACACCTTTGAGAACATATATGGAGAATCTATAGCCAAAAGTAGACCCAGCACATCAAAGTACCTCAAGAACCGATCCAAAATCTCCAAGAACCGTTCTGGAAATGATCAAACTAGACAGAAAAGGTAGAGAATCGGTCTGACAGAAGAGTGAACTTGTTCGGTCTACTGAAGAGAGAATCAACTGACATGTGCAGGTTATGTGACAATAGGTTGATGTGACAGTTGACATGGCTGCGAACGTGTATGTTGACACAACATATAGGCGGTTGAGTGTGACGTGGCTAGTAATGTGTCGGTTGACGTGTCGGATGACCTGAAGTCTCATGGCCGATGTTAATGTGTTAATGACACAAGTGAAAACATTTACAAATGATTGATGATGTGTGTGTGGCACGTGAGAGCAACTTGATCCTTGATGCAGCGGAATGTGGAAGTGTGTGATGGCGCGTGCGGTAGTGGAATGCGGCATAATTTTATGATTTGGCTTGTCGGAGGGTGGCGAGTTTGATAGTGGTGTTAGTTTTTCAAAAGAGGCAACGGAAGGTACTGAATCAAAACTTACGAACAATGGGTTCAGTGAGAGAATGACCATTGGCGCGATTGACGATGTACTACCATCATGGAGAGAAACTTGATGGGTACTTCCTAAGACAAGAATAGCTCTGATACCGAGATAAGAATACATGGAAGAAACATTTTTAATTTCTGTGTTTATCAAATTGAAGAGTAGATGAGTTACTTATAGGCCTTATAAGATGAATATTGGAAACAAAATGTTATAATATCAATCACAATCAATCACAATCAATTCAGAATATGCACAATGAAGAGAGGTATGCTGACTCTCTTAATTATTTCTAACAGTTCAAGTCATTTCTCTCAACATTGGTCATTTTCTAAATCTGAAAAATGGGCATGAAAAAGGATGAACCGGCTAGTTTTCCATACAACAAGCACAATGTGAGAAAACTCCTCAAATAAAAGAGAACTGTATGTTCATCAGTGTCTGACAAGTGCTTGTTAAACTCATGTAGTAAGGAAATATTTAATTTACATTAAATTGATCTTATATATCACTAAAAATGTCGGTCTATTGAAAACTGCGATGTATTTATTTTTGTACTTAACTCTCAACAAACAGGGTTAGGACGTTAATGGTCTGTTTGGAAAAGATGGGGAGGGGTACAATGAGAGGTGGGGCTAAAAGAGAGTGAAATTACTAAAATCACTAGTCAGACATAAAATAGTTTTCCGCATTCTTCCTTTTTTTGGGTGGAAGAAATCATTATAATTCCGTTTCCAAATCTCCAGAGAAAGAACATATCATTCATACTCTTAACACAATAACTAAAAATCATCTCACAAACCCCCTCAATCTTGTGCATTTCAAGTCTCGCTCTATTGAAACGGCAGCACATAGCCATTAAGCTCGTGGGGGTCGCCGGCTAAGCCAGTCCAATCCTCCTTTCTCCACTTCGGATCCGGCGACCCGCTCTCAGCCTCAGGCGAGCGGTGCCGCTTCCGAGTCACCCTGACCGGCTCCACCTCATCGCAACCGATCAAGTGAGGGAAATTCAGCCGGGCCTTGGCCCCGCGCATCGCGAACGCGGCCCGGTCGTAAGCCAGCGCAGCCTCCTGTGGCGTCTCGTAGGTCCCAAGCCACCTCCTTGCGCCGTTCTTCTTCGGGTCCCGGATCTCCGCTGCATATTTCCCCCATGGCCGTCTCCTCACTCCCCGGTAGTGAGGCCCTTCGAGCAGTGCCTCATTCGGTTCGACATCTCTGTAATCCACGACCGATTGCTCATTCGACGAGCTGGGCGATTCAAACCTGACGGTGTCTTTCGGGGGGTCATGATAGATGTCCACGCCGTCGTAATCATTCGCTTCAAAGGACATTGTTGTCTCCGGCGACCAAGTTGTGTCGAAGCTTGAATCTGGGCAATGGAATCGAATGTTTTCGGCGGCTCTCGCTAGGTTTTCGAAGTCATCGTCGTTAAGAAGATGCTGGCGGATGCGCTCTAAAAGAGCAGCATCTGTATCTGATATTGTTGAACTTGTTGCGTACATGTTGATCCTGAATAGTGGAGAATAATGCGAGGTTAGGGACTGATTAAGGTTCTGTGCGTACTAAGCTGTTTTTGGGTGGTGAGAGTCGACGCTTGACGGTATATATATACGCATTTTATGCTAAGTTAATTAAAGTCATCCTTTCTTATATTCGTACTTCATCTTGTTTATCACATGGTTGCCTTTTGCAATCATCGGGGCGTGGGAGTACTTACAGGTAGGTCTTTGAGCCTTTCAGTAACACCTTCGCTTTTTTTTAAACTGATGATTGCAATGATGACGTTTTCATCATTAATTGATCAAGGAAAAACAGTGAGTATGAAAGTATTTTATGTTTCTTAAAGCTCCTGGTGTTGAACGACATATTGGGTACTGTTAAAAGGAAAACTCCCGAGAAAAGTTAGATTTACTAAGTCTAGCTACAAAATTGATTTACCAAATAATATGTCACATTGTGATTGGTTCTCGAATATGACTCGTTTATTTAGAAAGCTTTGCCTAATAAATCGATTTTACAAACCCATCTCAGCAAGTATGACATACTTCTTATCTATAGAATAAATCGTATTGGTAAACGTTAATGAAGTGTCTAATATGATCGGTTATAAAAGATTGATTGCCATTTATCCTCCATTTGTTTCCATCTTGTTTCTCCACTTTATACAGTTCAGTTTCGTGTGGTTTGTACCCATCAAATTATTTATAAGATTACCACTAAGCGTAACCCTCTCTCTCTCGAACATTGAATTTCATCACCAAGGTCAAATGCATTCCGTAAATGGGTGACAAAGGCCGAATGCATTCAACCTTTCTCCATAAAACTCAAGCTTTTAGGAACGAAATTTAAGGAAAAAACTCAAACTATCATGCTCCTATTATTTCGCGAAAAATGAATGAAAATTCTAAAAACGATCGCTTACATTGCTTACAAAAATAAATGAACGAAAAATTTATATTTTCTAGAAAACACTTGAAGAATTTTTACGCTTTAACTTTAAAGAAAAAAAAAATTCGAACAATCATGAAGCATCAAGTATATCATGAATTCTTCCATTTTCTTTATAAAAAAAAGTATTTTTAACAAAAACTTATGCTCCTTACATGATTGGTTAGATGGTCGTGCCATTGAATTATTTAGGAAGGAAACCATAGTTGGTATATTAAAATCAAATTTTTTTCTGGTTATTTCGAAACACGGAATCCAAAGATAAAAACAATATTGTTTCTTATGTAGGAAGAAAAGAAAATATGATTGCATTCCACTTGAGAAGGACAAATTATTATTATTATTATTTTGTGTGGGAGAACCTGATAAGTACAGTAGCACATGTGACTGCAATTTCTTTGATTTTTAATAGATAAAGGTCTTTTGTTGCTTTGCAATCAAAAGTAGAATAAAAATCGAGTCGATCAAGCATTATTTATTAGGGCGTACTATCAATGTTGCAAGATAAAAATACTGTCCCAAACCTTAGAATACACATGACCGACAGTCTGGAGATGCGGAAAATTGTTGGGATGGCCGTATTTTTGCAGAACGCCCAACGTGATATTCAAAGAGATCTTTGGAGAACAGCTCGTCCGTACGTCAACATGGTTATTTTTCCCCTAAGGAAAAGAGGCTGTAAATAACTTGCAAAATACTTCAATTGATCTGCATGCACTGCGTGGGGAATTGTTTACGTATTTCTCTGAGACCCGTGCTTCGAAACTGAATTTCTGGTTTCCTTGGTTGAACTTTGGTTTTTTAGGCCTAAGCTAAAGGTTTTGGATACGTAGATGAAGTGATATGATGTATCTGTAGATCGTTTCTTCCCTTTCGATTGCAGATGAAGAGTATCTAGGGCTATGGATGTGCAGGGCAGTGGTTCGATTATGTCGTCCAACTTAGATACTCTTGCGTTGGATCTGAAGCTTTGATTGAACGAATTCGTGATCCGACATTTTCTCTCTTTTTTTCCCGTCGTTACGACACTTAATTGATTGGAGACAATTTTAGATATCATCCTCACTTATTGCACCGATCGTAAAATTTGCATCCACACTTTTTTTTTGGTAATCGGGTCCTCTGAACTATATATATTTGTCTGCTTACGTAGTTCTCCGATTTGAAAACCTTAATTGGAATGTTGGCGTGATCGTTAAGCATAAATAATCGTGAATAATCATTTCATGAAGTTAAATTGGTCCTAATCACTTATAATGTGATTGATTTGCTCTTTGCTATATTGAGCTCATGTCGCTGTTTGGCCACGGGTTGAAGTAAGACGATTCCACACCTATAAGTATATCATTATCTAGTGAATTAAGCATACAAAATTAATTAGAGTATCCATTCATTAATTTAATTATCCAACGAATTGCCAGAAGAAGAGACAGGAAGTAATTAGCGGAGTAGGGTCTACGAGCATCCTTATAGGGGAGCAGTGGGGCAGCAATAATGAGGATCAAAGCTGATTAATCATAATACATTATTAACCACATGCCACATATACCTGTATATAATATACTTCTATTGTTAATAATCTACAACAAAGTCCAAAGAAAGCATGTGCTCTTGCAATTTGTGTAGCGCGATATCGATACACTGTGTTAATAATGGAATTCATTTATTGGTTGTTAATGTAAGACAAATTTGAAATGTTGCGGAATCCAAAGATAGATTCGTGTGACGTGACATGACGTGACATTTTGTCGTTATCATAAAAGACGGTATATTTAGTTTATTTTGAGAAAAAAAAGAATTCTTTATTTCAAGTTGAGTTAATATTTAATTATTATGTGATCTTCATTTTCCGTAACTAAAGCATATACCTCTATCGTTGATTCAACCTCTCCTCTTCTCCCTAAAGGAAAAGATCCTCTCTAATGATGAGCAAGCACATGCAATTTTGACAATTTAGGGTGTGTTTGTTTTGCCTAAGAAAATTTCATGAAAAGGTTTTCCAGACTTGCACGACGGATTAACACACACACACACACACACACACTCTCTCTCTCTCTCTCTCTCTCTCTCTCTCTCTCTCTCTCTCTCTCTCTCTTAAAGAAATCAACAGACTAGAGATTGAGATGAGAGAAATTCCCCTCAATTAAGCATGTCGCGGAAAATACATCTATGATCATGAAAAGGAAAATCACCGAAGGTACTTAAACCATTTGTACATATAATGGTAAATTTTTCTAGGGATTATGTATGATCATTTTCCCCCCATCAGGTTCACAACTTGCTATAGTAGAATGCTCTAATGTGAAGTTATTAAATTTAATTTACCATAAGTGAACTAGATATATACCTTTACTCAACAGATGGGTCATTGCGCCAAAAGGTCCTGTTCAATGAAGGCAAAATGTCGCTTTCTTTCTCTTGCTCCAGATGATGGTACTTGCTGATTGACGTTATTTTCATTAGGAACTCTTGCTGACCTCGAAGAATTTTATAATATAATTGTCTGCATTATAAAACCCATTATCATAATATTGATTTTTGTTCTTTAGTCTTGCCAAAGATTCTCAAATATTTTGCCCGTTGTATTTCAAACTTTTCAGGCTTGAATTCTTGGCACGCGTGCTGGTGTTTTTAAACTTGAATTGGAGAGCGAAGATATTTGTAGACATTTGTCGCCGCAAACGGTTAACGTTGTTGAATTTTGGGTGGGCAGCTTTAAATTAATGATAAAGGGTGGAAATTGACTAAATTGGCATCTCCAATAATGTCATAGATACAGCGAAAGAAACTCAAGAACCATGCGTTGGGATCTTGTGAGCAATATTTCACTAGATTAACTTTGTTTTCTCCTATGATGTTATTGTTCTCTCGTCATCACATTTCTCAATGAAGGATGCAAACATTTGAGGATTTATTTCTTTTGATTCAGGGGCATAAACATGGAGACTCGGCTACTTGAAGACTCGAAGAACACCTTACAGGTTTCATGAACCGGTTAAGCCTATATCTTTGGGCCATACTGGTGACCTTGATCTATAATAGCTTATACGTAATTTGTGAGATTTGAATGAATAACCTCTAGTTTTGAGCTGAAAATCCCTAAGCGCCTATAACCAGTTGTGTCAACTCTGGGCTAAGTTTGAGGCTTTAACTTGAAGAAAAAAGTATGAGAAACTTAGGAGAATGATGTTATAATTCGCTACCCATATTTCCTAGATAAAGATCATTGGAAATATCCAACATATGCCAGTTAGCTTAGCAGACTAACTTCAAGATTTTGGCTTCCATCTATTTCTACTTTGGATCATTTTGATTGCATCCTATAACGGGGATATTGAAATTGTGAGATAACAACACTAAAAGAGTCAAAACTATTCTACCAAAATTTGTTTCTTGAACTTTTGAAGTCGACCAATTTTGTTTACCTCTGGTGACTTGATTCACAGAAAAATCATACCTAACATTATTTTTAAAAGAAAATAATTTCGTGTGGCTTGTCAGAGATAGCAATCCTTAGGCTGTGTTCGTTTCCGGAAAAATATTTTTCCGGAAAATATTTTCCGCTTTTTCCGGTGTTCAGGGACGGAAAATGTTTTCCGTGGGAAAACATTTTCCCACCCCACCCCCAAACCCTTCACAATTTTGAGGAAAATGACATCCGCTTCTGAGAAGCGGAAGTCATTTTCCGGAAGTCTGAAGCTCTGCTTCAGACTTCTTCCTTTTTTTTTTTGTTCTTTCTTTGCTTCTTCTACCTCGGCCAGGTTAGCGGCCGGCGACCGGCGAGCTCGGCCCCGGCGAGCCTCGCCGATGACCTCGGGCGAGGTTCGCCGACGTCCGGCAACCTGGGCAAGGTTCGCCGACGTCCGGCGACCTGGGCGAGGTTCGCCGACGTCCGGCAAGCTCGGGCCTCGCCGAACTGGGCGAGGTCGAGCTCGAGGCTCGCCCAGGTCGCCGGATCCGGCGACCTCGGGCGAGCCTCGACCTCGCCCAGGTCGCCGAATCGGGCGACCTCACCCAGGTCGCCGGCCGGGCGAGCTGGGGCCTCGCCGGCCTGTGGCAACGCTCGAGCTCGCCTCTGGCCGGTCGCCGGACGTCGGCCGTGGCCGTGGCCGGCAACCCGCCGGAGAAGAAGAAGGAAAAAGAACACAGCCGGCGGCGATCATTGCCGAACACCGGAAAATATTTTCCGAAACTTTTTCATATTTCAGCCGAACACCGGAAAATTATGTTCCGGAAAAACATTTTCTAGGAAAATGATTTCCGGGAAAACATTTTCCAAAAACACAATATTTTCCGTCAAACGAACGGAACCTTAATGTATAAAGCAAACAACGTCGTTGGACAACACAATCGAACCCAGTTAAATTGAGAAATTAGGTTTAAATTACTTCTCAAACCAAACCCTTGCCCCAAATTTCATTTTTGATTCAAGGCTAGATGTGGAGAGAACCATTGGTGGGAGTTGGCTGGCGCTGTGGACATGGTTGGGGCGAGGTTGATGGCGTCGAAGAAGTCACGATCAACAGCGATTGCACCTTTGGCTTCGTTGGCCATGGCGATTGGAATCTGGGGAGGATAAAGATTCACGAGGAGAGAGAGAGAGAGTGTGAGATTAGGTTTGGCCAACGGTGTCGTTTTGGGCTGATTTTCTCGTCATAAGATTTTTTGGCAAGCCAAGTTACGAATTATCTTAAATAACTAATTTTTTGAAGTGTTAGATTCAAAGTGATCATTTGCAAAGTTTTGACAAAAAACCATGCCTTGTACAATATTATTGACACTTTTAGTGTCCATTTTCCGTCTTTGTAGGTCAAACCCCATGGCTATGTTTGACAGTTGTGATAAAATTCGGGATATGATAAATTTTTATCACATCCCATATTTGGTGCTTGCCCAAACTAGGATAAAGTGGGATATATGAGAGATAGAACCTGGATAAAATTATCTCATGGGGGAGATAGAATAAAGGTAGATAGGATTTCTAATATTCATAATATAAAAGTTATTTTTTTCAAATAAAAAATTGTTAAATAAATAAAATTAAAATAATTTTGAATTTTAATATAAAAAATTCAAAATAACAAAAAAAAACGATAATTTCATTTTTATTTATTGTTATTTTTATTTATATATTCAAATTTCTTTCTATCTTATAATATAAATTTCATATATACAAATAAATACATTTAGTATTAATATTTATTACATATTTTAGGTATATTAGTATAGTTGTCTTTTTAATAAAATTTTATTGGAGAACGATGGAAGGGGAAAAAAGAAATATAAAAAGAAAAGAATTAAAAAAGAGAGGGAAACAATAAAAAATAAGCAAATAAAAATGAAGTAGGTAAGAGTGTGTTCAGATATTTTTATCATTTTCGTTTATGCAATTTTTAGGTTTATTTACACTAGTAAAATGTGAAAATATCAGGCTTTATTATTGCTATTCACCAAATAGTGGATTGGATATAGCAAATCCCCTGGATTTCATATCCTATCCTATCCGCTCCTATCCTATTTAGAAATCTAAACGACCAAATGCAGTCTATAGTTCTTTCGTGCGGATTCCTTGTCTTGGCCCAATTGATAGAGACTACATAATCTTTGGCATGCCAGCTAATCCAAAATAAAAATCAGCTCAACTGAAAACAAAAATTTAAAAGAATGTAAAGGGGGCGATCGCAATTTGGTAGGTAATTTAGTCATGGAATTTTTGCATAAAAAATTTGTGGTGAGAAGGGTTGATTTCGAACTATATATAAGATGCGTTTGGTTCAGCATTCCCAAGGGGTTTCAGGGGAATCCAAATATTTTTAACTTAAAGCACCTTGGGAAAATGCAAATTGCGTTTGATAAAAAATCATTTGTGAAGCTAGTGTTTGGCAAATCTTATTTTACAAAGGGCTATGTGATTTTTTTTGTTAAAAAAAAAAAGCTTACCCCTCACTAGAGCTGGCGGGCGTCGCTCGAGGTCGGGCGACCCCTGTAGAGGGTTGTATGACCCCATGTTGCCCTCGTCGAGGTCGCACAACCCTCGATGGGGGTCGCCCAACCTCGGGTGACGGCCGTCGGCGCCAAATCTGGCTCACCAGCGGCCATCACCAAGGTCAGGCGATCTCGCCGGCCCCTCGCCAGCACTTCACCGTCCAGATTTGGCCACGGGCAGCTTTGGCCAACCACTCTTGCCAGCCGCCCTCAATCCAAAGAAGATGAACAGTCACGAAGGGCAAAATTGGAATATTAAAGAATTAGTGAGGGTAGTTTGGGAAGGAAAAAAAATTGATTTCAACATTAGGCAAATGCTGAAAGCTCAAAGCTGATTCGGACTAGCCTTGGGCTTTCAGCACTCCCAATGCTGGCTTTCGGGCGAAAGCCCATTGGAAATACTCGCCAAACGCCTCAGCATTTCCCCAAGAGGCTTTTGAGGCCGAAAGCTCATTGGGAATGCTGAACCAAATGCATCCATAATTCGTTGATTTTGCCCACGGCATAAGATAAAGGATTATATAACCACCGTTTTCATACACATCCTTTGAATTCCTACCTACATGCATTTACCCATTTCATAGAATCATTTATACATTGACGAGAGAGAGAGTAATCAGTTGAACTGGACCATTTATCCATCTCTTAAAGTACGATTAACTTGGTTAATACCAAGATATCATTCATCCAAATGGTTACTTGTAGAGTAAAATCCTAAACATGGGTAAAGAGGTAACGGGTGCGTTTGGTTCAAGCTTCCTTAGGATCCCTTTGGGAAAACTTGGGGGTATTTGGCAAATTTTTTGGGACCCTTTTGGCTAAATGCTGGCCTTGGCAAAGTTGAAAGCCCAAGGCAACACTTGCTGTCTTGGCTTTCAACATTTTCGGAAGGCCACTTCCTAGAGTTAATAACCAAAAATTGCCCTCACCAATTATTTTCTTTTTTCGATTTTGCCCTTGTAAGAAATGCTCATCTTCTCCACGTAGATCGCCGGTGAAGCTTCGTCGTGAGTTGTACTAGGCCGACCAACGATTGCCTACAATTGCCAATGGTCACACGACCCCTCCCGAAGGTCACACG